TGCTGAAGTTGCTTCATCATAATGCTCCGTTTTTTGTCCTTGCACCGCTTGTTTTGAAACCAAACCCTGATGACCCTCGGGCTGAGGCCAGTCATTTCTACCAGTTGCTCTTTCATGAGGGCGTCAGGTCTGGGGTTGGCAGCGTAGCAGGTCCTCAAGGTGTGAAGCTGTTTTTCATTAAGGACCGTCCGGACTCGGGTGGTCTTCTCGGGCTGCTTGTGGACGTGGGGTCGCAGAGCCGGCTGTCTGGCAGAGATAGGTTCTGCTGTAAGGGAAGGGGAAGGGAGGAACAGGATCCCCGTGAGTAGGAAGCAGGGAGTCTGCAGAGGCTCTGAATCTAAGCTGGTGGGACAGGGGGAGGCGGGAGTGGGGGGTGATGAACCCGCTTTCGAAGGCCATTTAAGCAGTCAGATCTATCGGAGCTCCTGCAGCCTCCTCTGCTTTATGCGCTGGTGGAGTGACAGGACTGACATTTCTGACTCCACAGATAATTAATTTGCAAAAACAAACCACCCCCCTAAAACCCTTAATGACAGAAGCTTGAACCTGTATGAGACTTGACAAGGGCGAGTTCGCTTAGGTGTGCGTGCTCTAGGAGAGGAGGGGGAGGGTTTTATGTATTTATTTCCTGACAAATCACCAAAATAGATTTTTGGCCGGAAAATACTTCTTAAATTAATCATAATTTGGGTCTGCTTCTTGTATATTGAATCTAGCTCAGTTTAGCCAGAGGCCGCGATAACGTGAACCAGCTCCCGGCAGTTTGATGCTTCCAAATCAAAGCAAAACAAGCCAAATCCGCTGCACCGTGACCGTGGAGGGAAATCCCGTGAGAGCACCGTATCCCAGAGCTCGGAAGACGGGGGTCTATCTTAGAAAGCTGAGGTGCTAGGGGAATTTATGTCGGCTTTTGATGAATTCTTAAAAAATATTAATGTTTCGCCAATTCTTTAAAAGGGGAACAAGCCTAGTAACTCGTGAAAACCTCCAAGAAAAGCAAACCTACGGGTAGCGTCACATCAAGACCTAAAAGTGTTCTGCTATTCTTCTATGTATTGTGTAGCTGTAGCTGTCTAGATGTAATTTGACCCGGTGAAGGGAAAAATAAAAACACTGCTTTTTTTTTTTTTTTTTTTACTAAAACTCTGGCTAGCTAGTGTTCAGAAGTGCTTGCTTTTGTACCGTCGGGTTGCAGCTTTTCTGATTGAAATAACACATCAGCAAATGCAATGCAGATAATAACGAAGGCTTCAAATATTAGCAGTATTGTACCTGCAGACACAATATGCCCTTCGGAAACATGCACAAACACGCTATAGGGAGCACGCACAACCTCTCTAGAATTCTGCCATGATTAGATACGGGATTATTTCTCCCTATATATAGATATGTCACCTGAAAACAGCTCAGAAGCGGGAAACGAGCCTGTTAAGCATGGCTGTGTTTGTAAATAACCTTTCGAGCTACAGTTACTCGCACAGCAATAACGCCGGCCAACCTTGTATTGCCTACCCTAGTTTGCCTCAGAGACGTGCCCCTTCCTAAAACTAAGCGTCTCTGAGTATCTGATACACCCGTGGAGAACTAAAAGTGTAAGTGAAGTTGTAAGGTGGGGCGACTCTGAAGTTACAACGCTGAGTTTTAAGACGAAATTCTCATCAAATCACATAAAACGTTTCAGGAAGGCAGAGTCACTTTAAAAGGCAATTACCGAAGATTAACTTGTTGACAGTTTTAAATTACAGCCTAAGAGCTCGCCTGTAGTTATTAAGTCTATCTCTTTTCGGCCCCCGCTTTTCACCGGTGCTTAGAACAGCTTTTCCACACGCTGCGGAGGCAGAGGGCTCTGTGCTCGGCCGCAGCCCTGCTCCCTGCAGCGGCTCGTCCCTCTCCGACTGACGGTCCTGGCTGCCCCGGGATCGGAGGGGTGGACGAGGCGGGGCGGGGGGACACGACTCCCGCGCCCGGTGCGCGGTGGCAGCAGGAGGGGCGCAGGCTGCGGGCTTG